AATACAAACGGGTCCTCGAGTAAAGAAAAATCGCTTCGCACCTTTCCGAGCAGTTCGATCCGTATCTTTTTTTTCCCGTCGTTTTCCCTCTTCTCTACTTTTCGTTTCTGTCCCTATTTTTTTTAACTTTAATTTGCCTTGCGATGGGACGATGTTTGCCGGCCGAATGTAATTTCGGGTGGGACGACGAGCTGGAAGTTTGGTCCTTAAGGGAGAACAAGACGCATAGCAATTAATATTCAGAAGGCGCGCGTTGCATTATAGTCACACTTTATAAACGTCACGTACATGGAAAACGTCTACACGCAGAAGGGATACCAAAACAGGAGGACATCCGAGGCCTTTTGCTCCTGCGATCCCCTTTTTCGACTGCTGTGCAATTTAAAACTGAGTGACGCAACTCTCGTTACGAAGTAATAGCGTTTAATCTACGCTGTGATTTATTCGATCATCGTGGAAGTGGCGAGAAAATATCGATCCCCCATTCAAGTTCCCCGGGCAAGTCAAATCAACGTCGATTTGATGTCATTGAATGCGTAGCTGTTAAATACTGACTGACATTTCTGCCACCTTTGACCTCATCATAATTAATATTAATGTTTTAATGTTAATTGAACAATTGCGAATATTTCTACTGGATTTCTTCTATTGTCTTTTGACCTGGCTGGATCTCGTTTGAGTTTTATCGAATGAAAAAGACTCGCGAACCATTTTCAAACTATCTTAAAACATTTATTAGTAATCGAATTTGTGTTTCTAAACTGCAATGAAATCACCATCGACGCGGGCCTCCATCTAACTCCTCTACACAGGAGAATAGTAATAAATCACATGCACTCGTGATTCACGAGATGCACATCCAGGCGGATATAACGCTATCCACTTAGGCTAAAGCACCGAGTTCTCCCGGAGGCCCAGAACAAGTTTAAGCGAAAACGAATTTGAGAAATCACGGATCTCCAGAGGCTCTCCCTCTTTCTCCCCCTTTCGTTTCATGAGAGACGAGAGGAAAGAAAAGAGCCTCGCCGGTCCGCGAGGAATATAGTAGATATACACGTATATAGGAGAGCGCAAGGCAGCTGCGCCGGTCGTGATAAGACCCTTGTCACGTCTCTTCCGAGTCACAAAATCAAACCAAACATCAGCCATCGCGAGTCGCGCGTTTAAGGGCGCTGAAAGCGTTCCAAGCGGAGGGCCAGGCCGCCGAGATGGGGCCCTCGAGAGTTCGTTCTCCAAGCGCGGACAAGGAGTCCGTCGAGATGTTATTACCACAAATATTATCTTTTGGGGAACCCCCCCCCCCCCGCTATCTCTCTCTCTCTGTTGCGCTCACGTAGAAGCACGGGTTTCCACGCGCGCATTTTCGGGGCCCGTAAGGACCTTCTTCCGTGGACGACCCTTTTACTGTTGTCGCCCTTTCACTTCCTCGAAGAAAGTCACTCCTGAAGATGACACAGCTTAATCGTCCCGGCCGATTATCTTCAAATCTCTCTCTCCGCGTTCGAGAGAAGTGGATTGAGTTAAACGTCATTCTTAAAGTTTATATTAATAAACCTCTTATCGTTATTTCTCCCGCGGAGACATTTGACCACCGCGGACGGCGCACTCCGGACACACAAACTTTTCTCCATTATCTCTTCAACCTTCTTGCTAACACAAACCGGTATTATAAACCGTGGCTCTCAGACGGTTATCGATCAAACTGATTTATCGCCCATAATCTGTATCTGCAACACTGCTAATTTCACTTTACAAACGCAAATCGTATGCATCTGTGAATATCGGGATTTTATATGAATTCGCGTGCATTATTGCCGCGGATCGTACGGCTATTAATAAATCACGTGCGCAATGCCGTTTTACGTATTACGCCTCGCCGAATAAGCCAGATACGCGTTTACACTCCCGCAGTTATTACGAACCTATTTTGCGTAGATTACGTTTTCCCTCGCTTTATTTATACGTAATTATACATTTTGCTTTATGAAGATATCGTCTCACCGAGATGGCGAATTTTTATTTACGGTTAATCGTAAATCCGTAATGAATTTCGATATTGCAATGTAAAATATATGTGAATGGAAGGCACCGGCCGGATGTGTGTTTAATTTAAAATATGCGCAATATTTCGTTATCGCCAACTACGTGACGTTCACATACCGAGAGAAGTTGTATTAAGTTTTCAGACGTGCCGAAAAGCCGTCTGTCTATCTTACGAATCGGCGGACACATGTTTTTCTTTTTTCCGAACGTTCTTGTAGCAGCCACAAAGGAAGCGGCATAATTTTTCGAAGAAAAGGGCGTAAAAACCGTAATAAACCGTAACAAATATGTTTCTTACATCATGAACGCGCAAGATTTTGCACCGAAAAAGACGGGATTAGATCATAAAGTGTTCTTTAGGGAACGAGATGTTCCTTCCTTTACGTTGTAAATGTGCATTTTTTTACGGAGACGGGATTGTTCAACAGTACGTTGGCACGTATATTTACGATGCATTTGTTTGCGCGCCGTGGCATCTGGAAAACGAGTCTAGGACTGAATGTGGTCGAGGGAAAGGCACCGTTTTCTCAACATCCTTGGAAACGTCTTCGTCGTCGGAAATCGCGTGTCTATCACCTCGCGCAGAACATTTGGCGCGAGGCGCGCGATGCGCATACATATGTGTCAATGCGTACGCGATACAGCGTTCTCTCTTTTTCTCGATAATCATCATTCAGCAGACGCGCCGCGAGTTAGCATCATCAATGGAATTCAATTTCGGAATTCTCTCACGAATCGATCCGTCAATTAAAGCTTTGGAAACAATTACTCTCAATCTGCATATTGAAAATAAGCCGTTCAAAATACATTGAACGATAAATGACAGATAAATGAAAACGCGCAACAGATGAAGCAAGCGTTTAATAAAGACTAAAGACATTGGTCATGAAACGCTCTTTTTACGAGGAAGAGCCTCGTAAAAAATCCATACGGGGCTCTTTAATATCTTCGTTAACGGGACGAAAGTGGCATGCCTAATTATATTACGTAATCATTGAGTCGCACGATAAGCGACTGTGACGCCGACGACGCAGGGTGTCCACGTTTTAAATTTGATTGCAAAGAAACGCAAGGAGAGTCCTTCCTGCATCCATAACGGCGCGCGGTCAGGCACTTAATGTGTATGCGAGTATTTCTCCATTTGCATTTATATTTGACCGACGCGGCGACGCGGACGCCGCTACGAAAGGCGCCGCGGCGCGCGCCGTATACAATAAATGGCCGCGCGCATTTTTCCGATAATCGCCGCACGGCCTTAATATCGCCCGAACCGGAGTTTTACAGACGACTGGAGGGGCTCGCCGAAAATAAAATCAAGTCGACGAAGTCGGCGAAATCAAAGTTCACATAAAAAAAAAAATCTCAACGGCGAAGCGAATCGGAATGGAATCGTTCACGAGCAGAAATCTCTTCCGCCTGCTCGTAAGTTCAATTTGCATCTCCGGGCAATTTGTAAATGCTTATCGACGTGAATTAATCGCCGATTTAAAACAAAGACTCGAATGAACAAGAGATTTTAATTGCCACGAGTTTTTCGCAAATATTTATAAGAGTAACTATATTACGCGTTGTCACAAAATTGCTAAGTATAATAAAATTAATAAACAATAATTAAGCCTTCAATCGACCATAACTGGCAACGTGTTTTTTAACACGGAAAATTTATTGCGACAAATATTACCTTAGCCAGGGTTTGAACCTGGACCTCCCTTACTCTCTAGGCGGGCGTCTCACAAATTCGACCACTAAGGCATGCACTGACAGAAGAAAATAGTTGCAGGTACCACAATCTCACTATAATTTATAGTCATTTTAGGAGTCAACCACATTTTTATAATCCTTCCAACTACGTAAGTTATGGTTGACCTAACAATGTATTATAGTTCTTATGGACACAATATTGGTCCATGCAACTTACGATATGGTTGTCATAAATCAAAACGAGCTTTTAATTTGGTAAGGTGTACTATAAATATTGCAATAACCACAAGTAAAATTTCGAATAACTATATGTAATAGTAATAATTGTATTTATATTGGAAGTAATTGTAACTTATAACAATATTATCCGTATTTATAACACCCCATGCGGTTTTCTTCTTACGAGAAAGTCTTATGCCGCGCGTTCTTATAGTGAGGACATTTCGAACCACTTCACTTTTGATTACTATGTGATTAGTAAGGTGGATGATAGAAAAGTAGTTAAATTTACTATTATTGTGATTGTACAATATTTACTACATAAAAATAATCAACTAACTTACTATTTATTACCTGGATATTTTAACCAATTAAAAGTTTATATTTTATAGTAAATTTTTTAAATAATAGGCATCACTGTGTCTATATGGTTGCTATTACTAATATTATAGTAATAATTACTATAAAAATGATATTTCTGGCTGTATTTTACTATTATAGTTTCAAATATTACATACTTTTCCATCAGTGTGTGGTAATATTTATCGCAATAAGCAGTACTTGTGATGAAATCTTGACAAAATTAATAAATATTGCCTGAAAAATATATTCTTCGTACAAAGATGTCCACCTTGCGGCTAGACCTCCTTTATTTCCTATTTTCCTCCCGATCCGCTCGCGACATCCGCTTCCTAATAATTCCGCCGAGCAGCACACATATTTTCTCGGGTGATTCACTGCGGAGAGACGACGCCCGTAAATCGTCGCGTGTATTTCTGGTACGACTTTAATCGATCCACGTAATAATCAGTCGATTTATATTCCGGTGCGCTTTACGCCGTGCTCACAATCGGCAAACGGTTTATTGAAACGAATAAAAGAATCGAGGCGCGAGGTTTATAACTGCTGGAACACACGCGTGGATTACACGTAGCGCCGACAATAAACGACATGTGTATTTAGTTCGGCAATTATACAATCGACTCGCGACAGGTTATTACACAGAGCCGCTTGTTTGTTTGTTTTTTTTTTAATGAAAGTCGCCCTGGTCGAGCATTGGCGTCGATAAAGCGACGCTAAAGCCGCGGTTTACACGAATTATCATTTTTCTGCGTTAACGAATCCGCGCGTAGATTTCTTCGCGACCTAAAAATAAATTATTTTATTATCTATTCGCTCTGTCTTTCCAACGGGAATGCAGTGTTCCGCGTTCACTGAACTCGCCGCGTTTGTTTCAAAGTGGACGGTCATGAAATTCGACGGGCGATTCAGTGTAAAATTTTGCAACCACGTAAAAATATATTTCGATTTCGAGACTTAAAAACTCCAATTTATTTCACCTTGAGCACGAGAGTTTCTCCCTGCGTGATACTTTGTCGTCCTTTCTTCCTACTGAAAATATGACCCTTGGAACGTCCAAGGAGGCTTTTTTATTCGATATAAAAACCCCAGTTTTATGAGCTAACCCCATTGTGCGCCGCTTTTCGATTTTCTAAATATTCTTAACGCACCGCGCGTCGCGACGTCCCGTTCGCGCGGCAAATCCTCGCGATTTGTCGGCAGAAAAAAAAAGCGGCGAAATAAATTCGCCCGAAAGCCGGCTAGTTTCGTATCGCAAGACCGGTTCTTTTTTTTCCGACCTTTCGTCGACGACGCGAGAAAAGGACACGTATGCTGCGCGTATCGCCACGTGCATTACACGCGTGGACATTCACAGGGACAGTGCAGTCCCTCCCCCTCCTCTTTACAGACAAGGGAGAGGAGAGGAAAAAAAAAGGAGAGATTCGGGGAACACGAGGGAGGAAGGAAGAGCGACGACGCGACGGTCGGGCGCGCGGGAGTCGGAGGGACCGAGACAGGTTCGACGAAGAGAGCGAGAGAGCGCGTGGTTGCTCCGAAGCCCTATACCCGTCGGTCGAAAGAGAGCTCGGTGCTCAGTGCTACGATGGTCACCAAGCGGACAGGTCGCAGCCTCTCTCAGCCTCCTCCGCTGCGGTCCACACGCCGGTCCTCGTCCGCCTCTCGTCCGCACACGGTCGTTCGTCCGACTGTCAGGCGCGCGTCTCGCTTAATCGCGCCTAATTAAGACGAGCCCGCGTCTATCCGGAGCTCCGCGAGTGCAGTGCGCGCGACGCACTGTCATTGACCGTCTGCGGCCCGCGCGCCCGCCGTAAATCATCGGGGCTCTCACCCGGCCGCGGCGAAGATAGGAGAGAGATACTGTCGCGTAATTGTGTCACGGTTGGATGTACGGATTTATTTTCGTCCGCGGTAGAGACTCGCCGTCTCTTTTCGCCATCGTCGCCGTCGCCGTCGATGACTCGCCGGAGTCATCGTCGGAATCGTCGTCATCGCCTCGTCGACTCTCCTATCGCGGAGATACGATTATCGGCTATTCGCAGGCCTGACGCGCGCGAAAGCGGTCTCGAGATAGAGCGCTTTATCGAGGCGACCCTAAGAGCCCATCAGTGAGTGCGCTCCGATGAGATCAAAGGACCGATAAGCGAGGCTAGAAAGCGGATGAATGGGAAGGAATATCGCGCGCGCCGACGGAAGAGACGCGTGCCGCTGTAAAAAGATCGGAGCGCGTGTGCTCCTCTTCGTAGACGCCGGCGAGGAAGGTTCGCACGTGCTTCAGCCTCCCACCTTTCCGTGCGAAGCACGTGCTCGCCGCCAGGAGACTTCTTTCCGCACGACGTAAGATTCAAGACGCGGGACTGTCGTTACTGTTGCGGTTTACAGTGTTACCCGCGCGTTCATTGGAAATATGGACGCCAAGGCACTGACGAGAGATAAGATCCTCCAGGTATTTCCGATCAAAGTTTCCAGTTTTTCTTTTAATCAAAATTAATTCGCCACATCCTTGGAATTAGATCACGAACCAAAATATTCTCTCTAAAGTCCTTGGAGTGAAAATACTGCATGCCACGGAGCGAATGCTTCAAAATCATATACACCAATGCCCAGTAATGCCCAGTGGGCATTACTTTATCTTATTATCTTATTTTATCTTACTTTATCTTACTTTATTTTCATAATGCCCCAAAAAGGTCTAGTGCCCAAATTAATGCCCAAAAAATGCCAAGGACGCCATAAATCTGGACATCACAATGCTCTCAACGGTTTACCCCTCGATATTTTCACTCAAAAAACTTTTAGAGAGTTCGTGCGCAAGAAACTAAAGGACTCCTTTACGGCCCTTCCGTGTCCGACAGTAAATGTGAACAGCTTCGCCAAACTGCCTTGGTTAGCTGCTAGGTCAGCCGTGTAAATTCTGGGCCGTACGTAATTTAACGCAATTGCACTTACGTCACGTATTTATTTACACGATTTCCGCGAATATCCAGGTTTTGCCGTTTGTTTCGATGGTCCGCTCCATTAAAGGGAGACGATCGTAATCCGCGTTCCGCTTCCGCTTTGGCATTACGAAAGTGTGTGCGCTACGCTTATGAATAAAACGACCCGTTACTCTGGACATTTCGCACAAACGGATAACGTGATTCCCGGACTAAGGGATTTTTCACTTAAAATATTCGGCTCGACTGCGACTCATTGAAAGGCTGATAAAAACTTGAGCCACGGTCAGGAATCACGAGATGAGAATGCGATACGATATTCTGTCAGCTGTTCGGGTTAAACCGGTGATAATGCCCCGAGAGTTCAGTTATCTGTCAGAAGCAGTGAAAGTAGTCGCGGAGTTCGTTAAAGTCGAAGCTCCATTTTTCGGTCACATTACTCGCGACTTCTGTCGTATTTTCACAGATTGATATTCAAGTGGAGAGGTCATCGAACCTCACCGGCCGAATCTTCCGGCCACTTGCGTCAACACTGATCGATTTCATTCGAAGGCAGACGGTGTGCTTTTCACGATGCACACTATTCGTGCTGGTTCACGCGCAGACATACAAGTTTCGAACCGAGAGAGCCTCGAAAAGTAATTATGTAACGCGTTCATTACGAACAGAAGTCGTAACGCGTACATTCACTGAAAATAACATACCTGAAGTGGGAAAGGTCGCGCTTTCAACTTAAAAAAAAAGTACTTGGTACCGGAACAAATTGGTACGTTACTTCTACGAGCGAAACGTATCGCCGCGGTCAATTACGTCGTGTAATTAATACGGCCTGCGCTATATCCGCCTCGCTCATCGTTTCATCTCCGGAAGCTGCGGAGTTCCCGCGGCGATGAATGTCGAGGCTCGGAATCTTCTTGCTTTATCGCTGACTTAAGCACAGATCGATTCGCGATGAGAAATTATGCGCGATAAGGCACGTCCGCGTCCGTGAGCATATCGCGAAACTCGTGTGCGTTGTACGTGCGCGCGTATGTGTGTACGCACGCGCTGCATATGCACGTGACATTCTTGTCGTGTAACCCGCAGAGTTGACATGCGCCGAGTTACCCTGAAGGATCTTTATCCATTTCGGTGGATTGCCTTGTCGGAAGTATCGCTCGACGAGTACTTCCTATTATGATAAAAGACACGAGCGTCGGCCCGAGTCCGTACGACTTACAACTTTTTATCCGTTGCCTTTCATCCGCGCAGAACTCGGATATTTAGAGCAAACCAATATTTACTACTACTCGTTGATAAGCGGAAATCCGACCATGGTAATAGATCCGATATCGCGCTATTATTAATGCCTCGGGCTACAGTTAGGAATGCCTCGCTATCGCGTGGATATAATTTGCGTTATCTCATCTCTTTATAGTTGAATAATATTTCTCAGATAGCTCTTCGTATCGGTCTAAAAATTGCGCAAGCTTATTGCCTGCCATGGAGCTCAATTTAATTATCTAAATATACTCCCGGCCGCGTTGTAAAATTTTATTTTTGCCATGCACGTGTATCTTTAGACGCGTAATTTGTTTCCTCGGCTAAATTCTCATATTACGTAAAATGAGCGATTTGAACGAAAACACACACACGGCATTGTCGCTTAATATTCTAGAATGGGTCCCCCTCCCGAAAACTCTCCACTTAGGACCTAATAACAGAGTGATGTTTGCAAACTGGTTGTAGGAAGAATAGGATGCTGTTCGGCATAATTCGTCCCCTCCCGTGAAAAGTGGAGCACGTGCCTTCGTGCATTTTTTTGACGAAAGTCGAACAAAGCAACAAAATTCTGCATAGTCACTCGGAGTTCAGTCGAGTCGTCTCCTCCTCCCTTCTTAGCTCTCGTCAATAATTCGGCATTTGGTTTCTTTTGCGAATTCACCGAAACTTTTCGATTCGTTAAAAATGCGACGAGAAGTTACTCGAGTATTATTAACGCGGTTGCAAGTGTTTGAGTGTCATCGTGTGACAGGAGAACAGGAGGGGAACGAGAGTCGAAAGAGCGGTTTTATTAATTGATACGATCTTTCTCTCCGAGGCGCGCGACCACCACGAAGGCTGTCAGCTGCGAGCGACGCGACGCGATAGACGCGCGCGTAATGGGAGAGAGGAAAAAACTGTGCGCATCGCGCAGCGCGATCGCGGCGCAATTTGCCAATTTTATGCACACTTCGCGAATAATGATCGAAAGTAGAACACGTGACCGCGGCGCGGCATTGTTCGCGGTGTGACAATGGAATCGAATGTTTTGTTGGGGATAATAGAGCGCGTGGCCTACACGCTAATGAAAGGGTTGCACCTTTGAATACATCGAATGCATATATACCGGCGTATCTAGGGCTCAGCGGTGCTCAGATCCCGTATCCCGAGCGGGCACGAAAGGATCCTGCGGCGGAGTCCACGATCGATATGCGTTCGACGTTTCCCCCCCCCCCCCTCCGGCCCTCTCGAGCTTTGGACCATTTTATTTTGTATCGCGCGCCCGGTTTTCATTTCGCCGTGTAACAGCGTTAACGATTTTATTTCACGACACGCGGCGAACGTTGCATGAAAAGTTTCAAATTTGCCATCACACTTAGGTCGCTCGAAATTTTCTTCTTTTATTATTGTACCCATAAGGTGACTCGATGCATCGAAAAAGTCGTCTCTATTATGCATATCGAGCCCCGCGTATGCAAAGCGTAGCGACGCATGAAGGATTATATCTTTACTATGCATATAAACGTTTGATTACCCCCGGCGACGCATACAGGTCCGCGGTTCCTGTTTTACAATAAGAAACACTCAAGGTTGCCCGCGGACTGTGTATCAGGGCCACGTAATGCATATCAATGTCGAATGAGCACCGCCGCTCCCGGCCGGGCGCACGCGGCACGTCTATTATAACACCCTCCGAGCGCGCCGAGGCCAATGTCAGAGTTCGAATGTGTTCTTTAAAATGCCCGTAGAACAATGGTGGCCGGGGTGTCCGGGGTCCTGCGGCGCAGAAGTGCCACTGCACATTTGCAAGTCCCGATTGTGCGCACGCCATATACACACGAGTGCAACGCCGCGCGATAGTCCGGCGCGCACAATGCCGAGTAGAAGAAACCAAAAGTGCGATTACCATTGAAGAACGCGGACCGAGGGTCTTTCCCGCGACAGTTATCTCGCACCGCCGCTATTACTCATTGTCGCCGCCGCGGTGTAGGTCGAAGATACTGGAACGAACGGCAGAGGCCTAGTTAAATCGTTCCTGACCGGGTTATATCTTGAAAGGGAAACCGTCTTATCTCCCGACGTTAGATATCGCGATAGTAGGCGCGATAAACGGTGAATTTCTAATACCTTGTATCTTTTTCATGAATATTATAAATGTTGATGACGATAGAAATGCACGAGAAAGTTGTTTTTCCGAGGATACGAAAAAGACATGTCACGTCTCGTCTCGCGCATCTATTAAACGTTTTGTTTAGATTTCGCGCACAGATGATGTTTTGTCGTCCGAGCCATATTTATTCACGTTGTTGCACAGCCTACGTGCTATATTTAGAATATCCCGCCTACGGAATTACTGAATGACTTCGGTCGTAAAGGTGAGTAAAGGTTCGCGTTACAGGAGCGCATTTCACTTTATCTTCGGCTTGATGCAACGAATCAAACGTATAAAACGAATGACAACTAGCTTTCAGTGTGAGGAAATTAAAAAAAAAGAGCCTCGCTGAGATCTGAAAGGCAAAATACGAGGAGTAAACCGCTGACCAAAATCATGTACATACTAATACCTAGAGAGCATTACTTTATCTTAATTTATCTTCTAATGCCCAAACTAATGCCCTCAGCGGTTTATCCCTCGGCAAAATACAATCTAAACGCAAAAGGATCGGTGCGTCATCAAATTCGAAGCTCGTTAGTTCAATTAAAATATTTCTAACGATTACAATATTCTTTAATACTTAAAGAAACACAAACCCATTGAAATCGTAAAAGCCAATCGTGTCTCATGTAAAAGCAGTGTTTACGTATAAGATTTCCGTACTCTTAAAACTGGCCTGAAGAAACGGTTGCGAGAGAGAAGTGGGTGTGACCTGCAAATATTTGCTCGACAAGGGAAAAAGGGTGAATATCCACATGGCAACGCAATGCATTTCCCAACAAATGTAAGACAAGTTGCCGGATATCGGGTTACTTGTCCAGCGATTTTTTTTTCGTCTTTTCAGGACGCTTTTAGCACGTCTCACTCCTGAGATCTAATACTATTTTTTTATCCGTAAATATTATAGATAATAAATAAATAGGACGCGAGCGCGTTTCGTGTGCAAAGGCTAAAATATGCGTTTTCGGGAAATAATGGACGATGAGATTAAACTAATTGGGTTTCACGTTGCCCGTGTCTGTTAATATTGTATCGTCGAAAACAGCGCGAGCGTCATTTACACGACTCTCGTGTGTGTCCCAGTTATGCTATAGATATACGGTGCTATCGTTA